GACAGCACAGGAGGGGAAGGCCCTCAATGAGGTGGATTGATTCAGTGACTGGGATAATTGGGATGAGAGTGTCAGAGACAGTGTGATTGGCACAGGACAGAGCAGAGTTTAGGGCTGTTGCACATAGGGTCGCTATGAGTTGCAAGCGACTCGATGGCATATAACAACCACAACAACAACATATACATTGAAAGTGAAAAATAGATGTGGCTGTAAGAACAATTAGTGAACTGGAAATTACTCAGCTTGCCACATTAAGGAATAGAGAAGGAAAAAGATGAACATTAAAGAAACATGAGGAAGAATGTAAGAAGATCCAAAATATATCTAAAAGGAGTTAGTGAAAGAATGTATTAAAAAGGGAGAATTGAATTGTTGGCACAGTATATTGACTATAAGAATAAATAAATATGACAGGATATTATGTAGCATGCTGTGCTGGTAATCAGAAAGCTACGTGTCGTCAGTTGTTCCAATTCACCAAGGGTTCAGAACTGAAGGAAAAAAGGTGGGCAGTTTCCTCTCATTAAATCTTAATGGGAGGAAACTCAGAAACCTAATAGCGGGTCAGTATTAATCATAGTTAATGGCAGTTAGTGAATGGGGGAAGTGAGTCGTAGAAGTTCAGCCAGAATGTTCTTTAGCAAGGATAGAGTCTTCAGCTCACCTGCTTAGGCATGCTATCTGGAGGGTCTTGTCCCCGGAGAAAGACATCATGCTTGGTGAAGCGGAAGGTTAGTAAAAAAGGAGTCGACCCTCAATGAGATGAACTGACACATTGGTTGTCACAGTGGCTGATGCACAGTAGGCACTGTGAGGATGATGCAGGATTGGGCAGCATTTTATTCTGTTGTGAGTAGAGTCACTGCAAGTCGGTGCTTACTCGACGGCCTGAGTGACTGGCTGAGTCCTGGTCTTCACCCTGAGCAATGAGAAGAGCCAGGGAAAGGCCATCTCTGCTCGCCTGCCTGACTCCCGGGAAGTCAGCACTTACTGGGGAAATGTTCCTTAGAGTCTTTTTGTGTTTTGTGCATCGGTTTGGGAGATCAGAATTCAAGGTGAGGATGATGTGAGGATGATGTCCCAGGATTGGGCAACATTCTTCTCAGTTATGGTTTCTCCTTCTCTCAACAGGTGATGAAATTCTGGAACTCAATGGTGAATCAATGGCTGGGCTGACCCATCAGGACGCCTTGCAGAAATTCAAGGTGACTGTTTCTTATTAACATAGAGATAAATTCTTGGGCATTCAGGCAAATGGGCCAAGTTCCCACTATCACCCCCTTTCATGAAAAATTACAGATATAGAATGTGGGATGCTTTACACTAGATGCCCATTTTATGCAGATTTTACACAATGTTTTAAAAAGAGGGCTTCTTGAGAAACTAATAATCAGGATTGTAATCAAGATTGTTGGAGGGGATGGTTTAAATGTCTTACAACTTACAAAACAATTTTAAAATATTTTGTTGTTGTTATGTGCCATCAAGTCAACAGCAACTCATAGCAACCCTATGTACAACAGCTCTGAAGCCTGTCTTGTCCTGCGCCAGTCTCACTGACTCTGACACTCCTAAACCCCATTGTCCTAGTTAATGTACCTGGGACATTCCTCTTCTGCACTGTCCTTCCACCCTTCTCTGCATGATGTCTTTCTCCAGGGACGAATCCTTTCTAACTATGTGCCTAAAGTAAGTGAGACAGAGCTTCAAAATTCTGACCTCCAAGGAGAAACTTGGTTTCAGCTTCTTCAAGACAGACCTATTTGTTTTCTTTGAGCTCTATAGTATGTTCAAGACTCTTCTCCAGCACTACAACCCAAAGGCATCAATTATTCTTCTGTCATCCTTAGTCATTGTCCAGCTCTCTGAAACATAGCAAGTAGTTATGAAAACCATGGCCTGGATTAGGTGCTCCTTAGCCTCTAGACTGATATGATTGCTTTTCAGTACTCTGGAGAAGACCCTGACTGAAAATTTCCCTAATGTAATTTGTCTTTTGATTTATTGACTGCTGGTGCTAAGTGTTGGTTTTGGAGCTGAGCAAGCAGCTGTTAACAACCTCGATCACTTTTCCATCCATCATGGTTCTTCCAACTGGCCCAGTGGTGAGAATCTTTGTCTTCTTGATGTTGAGCCTCAATCCATATTGAAGACTACAGTCCTTGACCTTGTGCAGCAAGAACTTCAGGTCCTCAGTTTTAGCAAGCAAGGTCATGTCATCTGTATAACATAGGTTGTTGATGAGTCTTCTTCCAATCCAGATGCCACATTCCTCCTCATAAAGCCGTGTCCCAAATGATCTGTTCTGCATATAGATTGAAAAGATATGGAGACAGGACACATCTCTGACAATCTCCGTTCCTGATTTTGAACCTTGTAGTATTTCCTTGCTTTGTTCTGGGGACTGCTTCCTGGTTCAAATATAAATTTTGCATAAGCACAATCAAACGTTCTGGGATTCCCATTCTCCTCAAGGTTAACCACAATTTGTTGTGATCCACACAGTTAAATGCCTTTGCATAGTCAACAAAACACAGATAGCTATCCCTCTGGCACCCTCTTTCTTCTGCCAAGATCCATCTTACATTGGCAATAATGTCTTCAGTACCATGACATCTTCTAAACCCAGCTTGTGTTTCTGATAGCTCTCTGTCAATTTACTGTTCACGTCACTTCTGGGTAATCTTCAGCAGGATTTTGTTGCATGTGATATAAATTATATTGGACGATAATTTCCATACATTGTTAGATTTTTTTTTTAATGGGAACTACCAAGTCAGTTGGCCAGGTAGTTGTCCTCCAGATTTCTTGGCACAGCCTGGTGAAAACATCTAGGGCAGCATCTGTTTATTGAAATACATCCATTCCTGGGGCTTTGTTTTTTGCCAAGTCCTTCAGAGCAGCCCGAACTTTCTCCTTCATCACCATTGTCTCTTATGTATATATATATATACACTAAATTTTGTATGTTGTAAACTCATTGTTAATTTTTTTTCTGAAACTTTTGTGGTTTGCATGAAAGTGTTCTGAGCAAATTGGTTTTCAGTTCAACAATTCATATATATTTTTGCTTTGTGATGTTGATTGCCTTAATTTTTTTATGCTCAATAAATATTTAGTGAGTATCAGCATGTGTGTCTAATGATCAGATTTTTATTTTCCTCTAGATTCTGTAAATAGCTGGGCAAATATAAGTATCCACTTGCCTTGTTTTTCTTTTAAATATACAATAGGAAGAGTTGGGATGCTATAATTTTTTTTTTACAAAAACCAGATCGTCCTGACTTCCAAATTTCTCAGTTCTTCTACATGATTGAGGAACAGCGTCACAGAATTGTTTCTCAATCCAGTTTACAAAGCCAGCAACACAAACGTAGCTGCACTAAAGCATTGGCCAATGTTACAAACAGCCATTTAACAGGATATTAAATGTTAACAAAACGCAGCCATATGCAAAAACCACATTCTAAAGTTACACATAGACAATTTCTACAGAAATAACAACTCTTTACCATCCTTTTCTACTTGGGACTCAGACATTGGATCCCACACTCATGGGAGCCTATGCAGCCCTCTTTTTACTCTGCTTCCTGAAACATGGGCACAGGCTCTTACACTGGCCTTGGCTCTAATCCTGTAACTTTGTCTGCCCCGCCTCCTGATATTGCATTGGCCACTGCTGGGGTTCTTTCTTACGGCAGCTGGCCACAAGCCTTGGGCCTTTCACTTGCTCGTTCTAACTTGCTTTGGGGTGTCCCAAAAGAATTCATGTTCCGTTGGATCAGTGTGGGGCACTGCCTGTCACTGAGATATCATTGCTGCATGAAATCTTAAATTTATATGACTCTTGGAGTAACCAGAGATCAAGTGATACTTTGAGGCATGTAGTGCTAATCCACACATCCATTTCCAGACGTGGGCTTCCTGATGCTCTTACCTCTCATGTGGTTCAGGCCCAGATCATCACTAAGAGACTGAATCTGAGGCTAAATCTCTTCCCAGGTCCTTGTCAACAAGTTGTAGTTTTCTGATTAGGATTTTAGTGTTGTGTTTGTAGTCAAGCTGTTTCTGCTCAAATCCAAAAGCTTGCCACAGATGCTCTGGGGCCCCTGGACGAACTCTGATCCTGTATTTCACCACCTCGAGGGAGCCTGTGATAGGACCCTTCTTAACTTTCACCAGCAGAAACTGCACCGACTTGGGTACTGTTTGACCCAGGCATTTGCAGATCCTGTACCTGCTAAGGTTTTGGCTACAAAAGCTCCTGCATCTTTTGGGATGAGGGAGGACTCCAAAGCCCCTTCCTCCTTAGAGCACCAATATTTTCCAAGGGTCTCTCCTGTGGGTGGGGACTCGGGGTCAGAGCCTGGGTCTCACTGCCATCCTTCTACCCCTCAGCCTTAGGACTGGGGAGACTCTGGCTCTTGGGTGTCTGTTTACAGGCTGAGGGGTACAGAGCATGTGGCAGGGGTGATCGCTGTTGTTGAGAGCCCTTTGCAGAGAGGCTGGATAGTGCAGGGGTCAGGACAGAGGAAGAGGACTAGGAGTGTTTGCAGAAGGGTCTTTGTGGTTGCTGGGCAATACTGTAGAACGTAGGATGACCTTAATTTTTTTTTTAATGCCAGTTTTTTATATATATTTTTTAATCTCCATCTGGTTAATCCGAGAGTCGACCTATCAATGTAAGTATGTATGAAGATAGACATATATGTGGATCATGTGTGTATATATATATTTATATATATATATGCATGTAAGCACACACACATTTTACTTGGCACTGATGGAGGCCAGGAGCCGCTGAGGTCTAGTGCATCATGTGAGGGGTTGCTGACCAAATGGCTGGTGGTTTGGATCCACTGACCACTCTGTGGGGAGAGAGACAAACATTATTCTCCTACAGAGATTTGCAGCCTCTGAACTTGACCGAGGGTCGGCAGGGGTTGGAGTCATCTCCCCGGCCACAGGCCTGGTTTCTGGAATTACTGGTGAAGGCCACACTTCCTCACCTTCCTGAGTTGCTGCTGATTTTCCCAGCATGCTTTCTTTTCCTTTCAGCAAGCCAAAAAGGGGCTCCTGACCCTTACAGTGAGAACCCGCCTGACGGCCCCCCACTCCCTGTCCAGCCACCTGTCTCCGCCGCTCTGCCGCTCCCTGAGCTCCAGCACCTGCGCCACCAAGGACAGTGGCACCTTCCCTGTGGAAAGCCCCGTATCTCCCCCCAGTGCCGCCAAACCCAACTACAGAATCATGGTGGAGGTGTCTCTGAAGAAAGGTGAGAGCCCGACTTCTTCACCTCACACTTGAGTCCTTCAGTCTTTTGTCCCATTTCAAGGTCAGAGCCTAAAAACCTGTCACCCTTGGCTTGATTCTGACTCATAGCAAACCTGCAGGACAGAGCAGAACTGCCCCACAAAGCTTCCAAGGCTGCCCTCTTTACAGAGACAGACTGCGAGGGAGCAGCTGTTGGATTTGAATGGCCAACTTTTTGGTTAGCAGTTAAGTGCTCTACCACTGCATCATCAAACTCGTGGATATGCATGAGCACTGCCTATTAGCTACTACATCATCTCCTAGACAATGTGCAGAGCTTAGTCTATTAGCTTTTTTGGCTGGGCTCAGTCACAAGGTTATTCCTTTGTTTCTTTATATAAACGCAGTGCAAACCATCATTGTGTTCTGATGCAATGATGTGAAACAAAGCAAAATGAAGCCAAAGAAATCATACACAAAACTATATACACACTCACACTCACTAGACACTAACATCGGTAGGCAAGCCACTGTGGTTCTGCAGCTGACAGGTCGGTGGCCATGGGCAGACCCCTTCTGGGCCTCTGCTTTCTTACCCGGAGAACAAGAAGGAAGGTGTTTTCTAGCTGTGACTTTCAAGATCTATATCCGCTTCCTTTACCGTGATCAGGTAGACTGCCAACACCAGGGGCCAGGAAGACCCTTGCTGCCCAAATGCAGTAGAGCTGAGTGGCCTGAAGGATAAAGGGGAGGCAGCTTGGGACAGAGTGTGTATAGAGGTTCTGCAGCAGGAACGTGCCCAGGACATTCCAGGAGCAGAGGAAAGGCCAGTTCTGATAAAGCCTTGAAGGCAAGGGTGAGAGGAGCTGTCAGGGGATCTGATCCGGCTCAGGGCTACTTTGTAGGGATACTCTACAGAGCTTGCACTTGGAGATCTCTTAAGGGCTTTTAAATGGAGGGAGGTAATGACCTGTCCCCGCATATGCTTAAATAAGGTCATCTTCTTCTCACTGTGGAGATGGACTATGCTGGGAAGTAGCTGAAGCCCTTCAGATCTAGAAGAGGGTTGGAGTGGATGAAGCTGAGAAGGCTTTGAGAAGTGGGATCCTGGGGTGTTTTATTTATTTTACATGACACGGATTCTTAGGGAACTCTGGTGGCCTAGTGGTAAGGAACTGCACTGCCAACAAGGCAGGAGATGTGAATTCACGAGCTGCTCCACAGGAGGAGGGGGAGTCTCTTCCTGTGTGACTTACAGCCTCTGAAAACCTGCGGAGTGGTCTGCTATGAGTCGGCTTCAACTTGATGGCACATAGTAGGAACAATAACACCACCACTTCTTAGACTCTATTCTTGGAGTATTTAGCCATTTTAGGACTGAGGCTTAGGTTTCTGCTTTGGAAAGACTGACCCCCAGCAATTCTGACAGTTTTGCTTCAGAGTCAGGCAACTCAGGTTCCATGAAGGGTTCTGACCTTTATTCATTGACCTGTCACAGCACAAATTCTTCATCCATACAACTCGGTTGTCAGCTATTGTTCATGGTCTTCCTCTGGAAGTTGTTTGCAAGACCAGGATCAGAAAGTGAAGCTGTGTGAAAGTGCTTTGTAAATCATGAATTGCCAGAAAAAAGAAAGGCAGGAAGGAAGGAGTCTTTGTTTTTTTCAGCAGGAACTCCGTTTAGTTTTCTTAAGAGTTATTCCTTGTTTTCTAGAACTTTCAGTACTGACAAACTGCAGGGCCTCCTCTTCAGAGATTCTGGCAGGTTCTGTCAGCCTCCTGACCCTAATGCCACATCTAGGCTGCTACTGTTGTAACTTCTCCTCTGCCCTCTTCCTTGGCTTCCAGATCCCTTTACACTCTAGTACTCTATCTCTTTACTCTACTGGTCCATGGATACCTCATGAGTGTAACTCAAGCAAACAAATCCAAGTCATTGGTCCCTCATCCCCCTAATCTTGATACCCCACCCATCAATAGCCCCAATTGCCTTTCTCACTTTGATGAAGGACATCACTACTCATCCAGTCATGTAAGCCAAACATTCTCCAAGGTACTTTGCTTAATACATCAGTAATAGTCTGTCTCTGAAACATACTCTGTGTCTATCTATTTCCCCCGTCTACCGCCGTTGTCTCGCCCAACTCCTACAGTCTTTTCTCCTCACAGCAGCCCATGTCACACATTTAAAAATAGAAATCGGATCATGTCACTTCCTTGTTCAAAACTCCTCCATGATATCTCATCTCAATATAGAATAACATCCTTTGCTGGAAGCACCCTTGTTTACAAAGCCCCATTTAAGCTGGCTCTCGCCTCCCTCTCCGACCTCATCTCACACCATCATCTTGTGACCGGCTGTGTTCTGACCACACTCGCCTGCATCCTGGTTCCGAACCACCTGCGCTTACTCTCTTGCTCCTGGCACTTTACATGATCTGTTTTTTCTTCTGGGAATATTCTATCCCTATCTCTACATCTCTGCCTCCTTCTTCTCATTCATATTTCAGATCAAATGTTGCATCCTCTGAGGTAATCTTGTCATTTTCTAGAATATTCTCTGCTATGATTATCACTCTAAGATATATTTCCCCCTCCCTCTTGCCATCCCCTCTTTCCTTCTCTTCTTCCTACTTCCCTACTTTTCTTTCCTCACCTGACTTTAAGGTCCTTGAGAACAGAGACCTGGTCTTCTTTGTTGCTGAATCTAGAGCCCCTGTATATGATACACAATTAATTGGTTGTCAGGGAGTCCATTCTCACCCATTTGTTGTTGTCATTAAGTGCCATCAAGTCACTTGCGACTCATAGTGCCCCTATGTACAACAGTTCTGAACCCTGCTCTATCCTGTGCCAACATTATTGTCTCTAACACACCTACCCCCCCCAACCCCCGCATTACCCCAGTCACTGCATCAATCCATCCAGGGTCTTCCTTTCTTGTGCTGTCCCTCCGCTCTCCCAAGCATGATGTCCTTCTCCAAGGACTGGTCCCTCCTTGCAACATGTCCAAAGTATGCTAGACGGAGCCTCAGAATTCTTGCCTCAAAGGAGCAGCCTGGCTTCACCCTCTCCAGGTTGAACCTGTAGTGACACATAAATATGAGGGTAGAGCTATGCTCCAGAGGCTTTCAGTGCCTAATGTTTTGGAAGGAGATCACCAGATCTTTTCTTAGGTGATCTCTGCGTGGATTCAAACTTGTGAATTTTTTGGAGGTTAGCAACTCAGCATACTGTTTGAACCACTCAAGGACTTGCCTGCAGTTGATAGTCCATAAATATGGGTGGAATAAAAGACTTAAGACTAATAAATAACAATAATAAGTGACACAATAATATTATAAACAATACCATACTAAGTAAATAACAATAACATATTAAGAAATATTAGTAAATACATATCTATTTATTTATAGTAATAGTATCTGTTTTATTAATTGTTATAATGATATTTACTATTATTTATTATGCATAATAAAGACCATATATTAAATAAGTAATAACAAGAATAAGTGACATAATAGTAAATATACAGGGGGCCACTTGGCTGATTCATGAGTATACACAGGCACCTGCTACTCTAGTTAACATCTGGACAGTTCACTCACATGCCCCCCCACCCGTTCTGCCTTCCAGAGGCCGGCGTTGGCCTGGGGATCGGCCTGTGCAGCGTGCCCTACTTCCAGTGCATTTCAGGCATCTTCGTCCACACTCTCTCTCCTGGGTCTGTGGCACATCTGGACGGACGGCTGCGGTACGTGCTTGTTTCTGTTTTATGAAAGATCCCTGATATACAGGAGAGGGAAAGATCACCTTAGGATGTCAGATCATATGGGAGATAAGATCCAAAGAATGAATTATTCAGGTAGAGCTCAGATGTGGGCCCTGGAACGGTAGCATCAGCATCACCTGGGAGCTTAGTAGAAATGCTGAAACCCAGGCTCTGCCCCCAGCCTGTGACACAGAATGAGATTCTAGAACTTTCATCCTGGCAAATGGTTTTCATGCACATTTTAGCTTAAATAGCAACATCTCAGAAGACAGATGTCCAAAAGAGAAAACAAACGGTAAGCACACTTTGATTCAGATTTAGCTAATCCAGAATTTATAGTAAGTACAGTAAGCAGACTTTTCAGTAAGAATTTACCAGTGTATTCAGGAAGAGAAGGCGAACTTATTAAGCAAATTAGTCGTGTCAACAGCCTCAAAGTGGAAATAAAGGAAACATTTTCAGGTCCTCCATGCACAAACAAGTCTGTGTTGGAGGAAGGGCAACCAGGGTTCTCCTTAGAGGCAAGGATGGTGTAACTTCATCTCACATATGTCAAGCATGTTGTCAGGAGGGGCCAGGCCTTGGAAAAAGACCTGCTGGGAAAGGTAGAGGGTCAAAGAGAGAGACTCTCAATGAGCTGGGCTGACACACAATGCCTGTAATAATGAGCTTGAGCATATCAGAGATGGTGAGGGCTGTGCAGGATAGAGCACGGCTCCTATCTGTTGTTCATGGCATTGCTATGAGTTGTCGTCAGCTCCGGCATCTGCCAACAACAATCAGGGGCATTTCTTTACAAACGACTTTGGATTTTATACTAACACTTCACCTCAGTTCAATTTATTATACTTTATACTTCCACATTCATGCTTAGTACTGGTATATCATCTCACACCAGTTGTACTCTATCAGGAGCATTTCCCAAAATTGATGGAGGTTTGCTTAGAATTAAATTATATACATAAGTAGATATTGAGTGTACCTCGATGGACCTTCTGAGTTAGGGTTTGTTGCTGTCATCTGAAGGACATGATCAATTAAAGGGTTTTGACAGTTATTTAGCCAAATAGTTTCATGATTTCATTTTTTCCTATTCAACACCAACCCTTCAATCTTGATAGAACATATTTAAATGGGAAAAGAAAGAAGGAAAGCTAATGACAGAATTTTATCAATGTTGACTCACTTCTGGGTCTGAAATCTCTCCACTTCGTGAATCACAGAGTGAAATGCCTTCCTTTGGTTTGCTCTGTTCTGACTTTCAATCAGGTACCTAGGGAGCTAGGTATTGGTTTGATTTTTAGGTTTCATCTAATAGCCCAGTCAGGAATGGGTCCCCTGGTGAATGTCATTTAAAATGCTCCAATGTGAATATACCACAGCTTCTCTGTCTAGTCATTTGTTGTTGGACACTTGGGTTGCTTCCATCTCTTTGTTATTGTGAATAACACAGCAATAAACATGGATGTGTATATATCTGTATTGGTGGCAGTTATGTTTTCTTTAGGGTATATTCCCAGTAGTGGAATTGCTGGGTCATATGGTATTTCTATTTCCAACTTTTTGAGAAAGTGCCAAACTGCCTTTCAAAGTGATTGTACCATTTTACACTCCATCATCAGGCACACGGTAGAATACTACATAACACTGAAAAATAAGGAACTCATAAATGATTATAAAACATGGGTGATCCTGGAGAACATTATGCTGAATGAATTATCTCAGTCACAAAAGAACAAATACTGCGTAACACCACTGTTATAAAACAGGACTGGCATGGGGGTTGGGAGGGAAACTAAGAAAAGAGAAGAAAAATAATGAAACCTGCATTAGAACAGATGAAGGAAAGAACTGTTTAAAAAAAGAATACACGATTAGTTATTATTTGCATGACAACAGTCCAGAATAAGAGGTGCTGAGCAAAGTGGACTGGGGGGGGGGAAGGGAAGAAATTATGGAATAATGAATGACATTTTCTTTTTAAAGTGAACTAGGGGATGATCAAGGAGGAAAATGTACAACAATGAATGAATGAATGGAAATCCAAGTATTCTGTAAACTTCTGATAAAATCACAATAATAATTATTTTTTTTAAATGCTATGGTGATTAGTTTCCATCAACTCCCTAATGATGCATTTGCAGGTGTGGCGATGAGATCGTGGAGATCAATGACTCCCCCGTGCACTGCATGACGCTCAATGAAGTCTACGCGATTCTGAGTCACTGTAGTCCTGGCTCCATTCCTATCATCGTTAGCCGACATCCAGACCCACAGGTAACACCCCAGGGAATCACCCTCTCCTCCATGCTCACTCAGTACTAAAAGTGGAATGAAGAATGAATGAAGGGCTATATTGTGGCATTTCCAAGTACTTGTTCCAGGTTTTTGCAGTAACAAGCATCTGCAATAGATGTCAACTGAAAAACTTGTAGATGTTAAAAGCAATTGACATTTACTTAGGGAAACTTTTGTAGCTGGTTACAATTGAGTTCCACTACCAGATGCAAGGGCATCAATCATCCATATGTCTTTAACTACCCAGTGAATGAAGGTCTGTAATTAGCCACTGAGGATCCAGAGATAAAGGAGTTCATGGCCGTGGTCTCCTCTGAAAGACTGACATAAAGAGAGTTAAAATACTGAGTGCTAAGTACTGTGGAAATACAGAGGGAAACATGTAATGGAAGGATTTATAAGTCAAGTTTTTATGAGGTGAAGAATTTGAGGAAAGTCATTCCAGGCTGTGAGAAGGACTCATGAAAGGTTGTGGTGAGTTCTGTGTAAATGGGATGTAGGGTACTGAGAAAGTGGTACTTTAGAGTTGAGGTTGGTGACGCATTGGGGTTACATGATGAGGAACTTTAAACAAGGTATTTGTGTAAAACTCTGATAACCTAGTAGGTAAGGACTTGTGTGGCTAAGCCAAAGGCAAGTGGTTCAAATCTACCAGCTGCTATTAAAGATTGGCGTGTTGTTGTTTTGTTTTTTTTTATTTTTTAAAAATTTTGTACATAGTGAGGCCAGCAGTCATTGAATTATCCAGCACTAAACAAAATCATGGCAGGAATCCAGTTTGGAAGTTGTCTACAGGAGCCAGATTCTACAGAGACTTGTTTGCTGGTACTGGTGGAATGTTGATTCACTAATGGGTGTGAGATGATGTGATTTGGCCTCCTATTTAAAAACCCATTTGTGCTGAGGCCAGCACTGGTCTGTTTATTTGTTGTACAGAGGTAACTCGTGGTTGCTGTGATGCTAAACACTGTAACACTGATGTGTCAAATGCGATAATGGTTACCCAGGGTGGACAGTGTTTGGTGGAACTCCCTGATTAAAACAAGCTTGGAAGCAGGAAGGCATCCACTTCCAAAACAGCTTGCCTCTGGAAACTCTATCAACGTGGAGAAACAATCAAAGTTATACAAGTGTTCAGGTCTTTTGTTCATAGGGTAGCTATGAGTTGTCTAAGACTAGACAGCACTTAACAACAACAACAAAGATAACCACGGGAGGGGACAGTCCCTTGATACAGACAACATATTTGGTAAAGAAGAGCTTTAGTGAGAAAGAGGAAGATCCTGGACTGAGATGACTCAACACCATCATTGCAACAATAAATTTAAGCCCAACAGCGATTGTGAGATTGGCACAGGATCAGGCAGAGTTGCATTCTGTTGGATAGATGGACTCTGTGGTACCTAATAATAATACAAGCAAGAGAAACCTCCTAGAGAAAGGCAGGCCTCTTCTTTAAGAGTAACAAATTATTACCCTAAGCCCTTAGGCAAGAAAAGGAACAAAAGAACTCTCAATTAATTTAATTTGCCTTGTTGTTCTTAACTAACCCTATGCTGTTGAGTTGATTCTGGCTCACAGAACAGACTGAGACTGCCCCATAGGATTTTCAAGGCTGTCATCTTTATTGAAGAATACTGCCACATCTTTCTCCTGTGCCTAAAGGAGGCACTGTGGCACAGTAGATTGAGTGGACACAGACAGTACAGAACAGAAAAGGGGAGCTATCAAGATCATGTCTGACTCTGGTACTTATCTTTCATGACCTTGAACAATTTCTCAAACTTTTTAGAACTTCTGGTTCTTCAAATCAGAAATGAGGAATGGTTTTCACTTTAAAAGACTTTAGCTGATGATGGTAAGGTATAGAGAGAGTGTACCATGTGCCAGGTTGTATGCCCAGCACTTCACATTTTTATTTTTAAATTTTCAACCCTTGTTTACAGTTATTAATATGTGCCATCAAGTTGCTTGCAACTCATAGCGACCCTCTGTACAACAGCTCTGAAATTCCCTGCTCTATCTTGAGCCAACTTCATTGTCTTTGACACACCTACCCCCATTACCCCAGTCACTGAGTCAATCCATCTCTTCCAGGGTCTTCCTCTCTTGCACTGTCCTTCTACCCTTCCAAGCACCATGTCCTTCTCCAAGGACTGGTCCTTCCTTGCAACATGCCCAAAGTATGTCAGATGAAGCTTCAAAATCCTAGCCTTCAAGGAGCAGCCTGGTTTCATCTTCTCAAGGATGAACCTGTTTGTTCTCCTAGCGGTCCATGGTATATTCAGTACTCTTCTCCAGCACCACAGCTCAAAGGCATCAATTCTCTTTGTTAGTCATTGTCCAACTCTCTGATGCATAGCAAGTAATTGTGAAGATCGTGGCATAAATCAGGTACATCAGATCTCTAGACTGACATCATTGCTCTTCAGTACTCTGGAGAGGTCCCTGACATCAGATTATACCAATGCAATTTATCTTTTGATTTCTTGGCGGCTGGTTCAAAGAATGTTGATTGTGGAGTCAAGCAAACTGAAATTGTTAATAATCTTAATCTCTTCACTGTCTTTCATGATGCTGCCATTTGGTCCAGTGGTGAGAATCTGTTTTCTTGATGTTGAGTTTCAATCCATATTGAAGGTTGTAGTCCTTGATCTTCTGCAGCAAATGCCTGAGGGCCTCCTCAGTTTTGGCAAACAAGGTTGTGCCATCTGCATAACACAGGTTGTTGATGAGTCTTCCTCTGATCCTGATGCCACATTCCTCCTCCTAGAATAGGAGGTTCTATTATTAATAGCATTAGAAGAAACTGAGACTTAGCAGTGAAGCAACTTGTCTAAGGCACCATAACTAGCAAATGTAAAAACTGGGGCATTAACACCGGTATATTTAACTCTAAAGTTTATACTCTAGACCATATTGCTAAAGCAATTTGTAATCTGTGAATTACAACACAGACTATGTAATTGTGCTGGTTATGGCATTATTTAATTAATAATGTAATATAATGATAGCATTACCAAGAATATCCTTCAGAGGTAAACGAAGTCATGGAGTTCGTCTAGAATCTGTCAGTAAGTAATCAGGAGATTGAAGTTATCAATGATTTTTATTTACTTGAATCCACAATCCAACACCCATGGTAGCAACAGTCAAGCAATCAAAAGATGTGTTACACTGAGGATCTTTCCTAAATTCTAAGGAGCAAGGATGCCACTTTTAAGGCTAAGGTGAGACAGATACAAGCCATGCTATTTTCAATAACTTCCTGTGCATTTGAAAGTTGGACAGTGCTTAAGGATGACTGAAGAACTGATTCCTCTTTGAATTGTGATGTTTACAAAGAGTATTGACATCCCATGGACTACCAAAAGAACAAACACGTCTATCTTGAAGGAAGTATAACCATAGTACTCCGTAAAAGCAGGGATGGTGAAACTCCGTCTCTCTTTCTTTGGGAATATTTTCAGGAGGAACCAGTTCTTGGAGAGAGACATTGTGCTGGGAAAGACAGAGGATCATTGAAAGAGAAAAGACTCTTAATGAGATGGACTGATGTGGTGATGATCACAATGAGTTTGAACAGATGATGGGGATGGTGCAAGACAGGGCAAGGTTCAGATCTGTTGTTCATCTGGTTGCTATGAGTTATTGATAAGCTCTGTTGGCTTGGTGGTAAGGAACTGTACAAAGGCATATGGTTGGAACCAACCAGCTGCTCTGTAGGAGAAAGATGGGCAATCTCCTTTTGTTCAATGAACTGCCTCTGAAAACCAACTGGAGGATGAGTTATGGGTTGCTTCTGACTTGATGACACACAATTACAATAGCAACAAAAGTGGAGAGAAGAATGAAGAATTGAGAAGTGCACCTTCGTAATGTTTTTTTATTGGCAGGTTTTTTACTTATCTTAAAGATACTATGGAATTATTAATGCCCAGGGTATTTCTGGAAGTGGGATGTGTCAGCAATTTGGAGAATGTATTGAAAGGGGAGAAATTAGAATCCAGGAACTCAGCTTGGGAGTTGTCAGAGTACTTGGGGTGTGATGCTGGGCTTTCGTTTTAGGAGTCTCTACTCTTAGTTTGCAGAAGTGATGTGATGTTTCCTAGGTCTCTGAACAACAACTCAAAGAAGCTGTGTCCCAAGCTGTAGAGAACATCAAGTTTGGAAAGGAGAGGCATCAGTGGAGTCTGGAAGGTAAGTGAAATGGTGAACTTTGTTTTTCAATAGCTTTGTCTTCTTGAAAGGCTAACAATTTAACTTAATTTCTACCCCAAGTATATATATAATGACAGTCAACAAAGCATGGAACATAAATAAGAATTGAAATCTGGAAGCCAATAAATTAAATTTGACACACATATTTGTTTTGGTTTGCTTTTGTTTTGTGTGGTCCAGATTTTATAAACATTCTGAATTTGAATCATTTTAAGTAGGAGAATCTCTCCAGGTCTTCATAGACCCCCACCGTTCATAGTTATTGTCTAGTATGTTGCCACTCACAATAGCTTTTCTAGGCATCCAATTTTGCCATTCTTACTCTCTAAGTAAGGAGTCCTGGTGTACGATGTGTTCAGCAGTGGGCTGCCAACTGAAAGGTCAGTGGTTCTCAAGAAGAATGATGAGGCAGTTTCAGATATCATATAGAGTAATTCTACTGAGTTCTATATGGTCACTATGCATTAGAACAGACTTGATAGCTGTGATTTTGAACTCTAAGCAAGGATGTTAGTTTAAAGACTAAGGTAACCTTAATCTAAGCTGTAGTATTTTCAATTGTTTCCTGTGCATCTTAAAGTTAGACAAGGAATAAGGATGATTGAAAAAGAGACCCCGAGGACCTCTGGTGACACAATAGTAAAGAAAGGCTGGTTGTTCAAATCCACCGAGCAACCTCATGGTTGTAAAGATTGTAAACTAGAATACTCTACAGCACTATTCTACATATGTCACTACGAGTCAGAATACATTCTAAGGTACCAACAAACAACCACACTCTCTAATCCCCAGACACTTGGAAATAA